CGGCGCCTGGATGAGACCGTGGTGAACCGCATCGCGGCCGGCGAGGTGATCCAGCGGCCGGCCAACGCCATCAAGGAGATGATCGAGAACTGGTGAGGCGCGGGAGTGCGTGACTGGGGTGTCTGGTTTGAAGGGGAAGGCTATCGGGGCTTAAAGTGTGCCGCCTCGGCACCGGCGAGTGTGGTGAGATGCAGCCAGTGAGTGTGGTGAGCTGCAACCAGCCTGCGCAGTCCGCAGCAGGTTTGGGTCATGGGGAGGGAAGGCCTGGTTCTTCAGCCAAGCGCCTTTCTTCATCTTTACATTTCTGAGAGGTCTTCATAACTGCCGTGGGTGGTGACTGAGAGTAACACCTCACTGTGGTCGGAAGAAAAAGGGAGGAGACAGTAAAGATTTATTTGACAGAATGAATTCCACTATGAGTGACGAGTAGCAACAAATTACCGTTTGTGTGAGAAAAATTAAATTTAAAATTAGAGCAGTGTAGCCCTTTATTCTCTGGAATTGCCCTTCTCCAGAATTGCTTTCTTGGTTTCTGCAGCTTGGATGCTAAGTCCACGAGTATCCAGGTGGTAGTTAAAGAAGGAGGTCTGAAGCTCATCCAGGTCCAAGATAATGGCTGTGGAATCAGAGTGAGTAAGCACAGTTGACAGCTGATGTTTAATACTGCCTTTTAAAATGTATTTCAATTTAGAAGCGTTTCTGATCTTGAAAAAACTTGGTAAGCGACTGTTACTTGTCTCTTTCACATAGAAAGAAGATCTGGACATTGTATGTGAGAGGTTTACTACCAGTAAACTGCAAAAATTTGAAGACTTGGCTAGTATTTCTACGTACGGTTTTAGGGGCGAGGTAAGCTCTTCATCAAGGTTTTCAAACTCTTCATTTTTGTTATCCTGTTGTAGCAAGGTCATGAATCTATTTCAAAACAGACTTGTATGACTTTCAAGGTTAGATGGATGCCTGGGGAGAGGTATATATTCTTTGTGCTGTTTGGAGTAGGGTTACTTTTTTCTTTAAGGTAAACTAAGGCCTGTTAGTGAAAGGTTTTAGAGGAAGGTGAATCTTTGATGTCAGGCATTTGTCTAAATTCAGTACTTAATGTTTGAAATGTGTATTTGTCTTCCTTTGGTTTTTCTATTAGTCAAATTTAGTATCTCTGAGCCCTCAGATATACTACTTCTCCAGATTCTCATAGGCTGTCTCTAAATCTGTCTGAAAGAACACTCCAGGATGAATTCTGCTTTCCTCCTTCAGATGGACAAGATATATAAACACGTTGCCTGTGTATACAGATCCTTGCATGCTCCAGAGAGCAGACCTTGAGTCCTCACACACTTCCAGCTCCACAGCCAGTGGAATCTGCTCCTGAGGCTGGTTTCAGCAGGCTGTGTAGAGGAAAACATTGAGTTTTTCAGGAAAACCATTGCGATTTGTAATATTAATTGCAGCCAGCACAAGAACTTGGGTAGGGATGAAAAAGTAACTTGCCCAGCTGTTTTTGAAAGAAAGAAAAGGGCAAAACCGTAATAACTTTGCAAATTTCTTTTAGTTCTGTTCCGTGGTTAGCTGCTTGCCTTGTCAGGTAAAATGAAATGTTAGAAAGGCCAAAAGAAGGTCCTGAGTAAAAGTCAGTGTTTATAGGTACTAAAATTTGTTAAAGTTTTACTCCCTGGCAATTTTCTTCTAAGGATTTTTTTGTTAATTACTTGCGAGCGGCATATCAAAAATTAGTGATGCTGTTTAAAGGGTGGACACTCCTGAGTGCTCTCCAGAGAGAGGATTACAGTGATGGTTTCTCTTTCTCTAGGCGTTGGCAAGCATCAGTCACGTTGCCCATGTCACGGTCACAACTAAAACAGCTGATGCAAAGTGTGCATACAGGTATGCTACCAGTTATCCAAGTCACTTCTGCCGCAGGTAATAAGGAACAGATGTATTTAATTCTCATTTCAGTGCCCTTATTAAGGAGGAGGATGGGGTAAGGAATTACATGTTTCTAGGGCAGTTACAAACAAGACCCAGAAATGTGAGGAAACATGGTTTGAGTGACTTTTTTTTTTTTTTTCATTCCAGATTGTAAACAATCTTAAGCTAAACAATGTATTTTAAGAGTTGGGGTGGGGTATCTTAAAGCGAATTCTACTTTAGCAGCCAATGTAGGGTAAACTTTAGTCTTTTTCTCCATTTCAGCATAAAATTATGTGTATATGCATAATCAGCATGTCTTGCAAATCTTATAAGTCTCTGAGCACAGGAACTTGTAGCTTAGTTTGCTTTTGTATGATGGCAAATCTTATCCAAAAAAGGGTTTGAATGTGCTTCTGAAAACTTACTCTAAATAAAAGCAAGCCTTTTATTAATTTCTCAACTACTTTTTAAAAAAAGAAGAGGTGGGGGAAAAAAGAGAAGCTTTGCATCTTGGTTTTTTAAAAGATTGTGTGATTATGGTCTTTCTTGCATGAAGTATGTAGGGTATGTGAGAGGACAAAAAAGTACGCTCTTTGAAGTTATGCAGCTGGATAACTTTGTGAAAGTGGGTCAGAAATCTTTTATACTCAAAATCCTGTTAAAAGCCAAAAAAGGAAACAGATCGTATATTTAAAGTCAAGATTTTCTTCTTTGTATAACTGAAGTGTAAAGTCTAGTGAAAGAATTATTATTACTCCAGGTCTAGCTATTAAAGATAGATTAAAATGTAATAATTCTGCCTCTACAGGCAAAGTCTCAGTAATACAATTTGAAAGAGTGTATCTCATGATCTGCCCCTTTTCCCTGCTGTTATTCCCTCTGTCCCACTGAGTCCTAACCTCAATGAAGACAGTTCTCATCTACCAGAAAGGTCAGGGGAGGTTGCAGCCAATTGTCACTGTCCCAAGTTGTTTGCTGGGAAGAGCGTGACAGCGAGGGGATTGCTTTTGTCTTCTCATTTTTGTCATCACCTGTCCTTGTAAACCTAGATGCCTGACAACTTTTCATCTTTATTTTTTTTTTTTCCCCAGAGCTACTTACAGTGATGGAAAAATTAAAGCTCCTCCAAAACCGTGTGCTGGAAACCAGGGAACTCAGATCACGGTAGGTTTTTGTGCCTGTTCTCTCTGTTCCTTTTCTGTTCCCTGGTTGTTATGTTGGCACCACTTATAGGGTACATTATAAGGTATGTGACGGTATCACCTTGTAGAATGTTTTCCAAATAATGATGTTGTGTGGTTTATAAGGAGAGGCTGAGGGAGCTGGGGGGGTTGAGCCTGGGGGTGTTGAGGGGAGACCTTCTGGCTCTCTCCAACTCCCTGAAAGGAGGGTGTAGCCAGGGGGGGTCGGGCTTTTCTCCCAAGTCCCAGGCCATGGGACAAGAGGAAATGGCCTCAAGTTGCCCCAGGGGGAGGTTCAGATTGGATATTAGGAGAAATGTTTCCATGGAAAAGCTTCTTAATCCTTGGCCTGGGCTGCCCAGGGCAGTGGTTGAGGCCCCATCCCTGGAGGTGTTTAAAAGCCGGGTTGCCCTAGTGCTTAGAGACATGGTTTAGTGATGGTTTTGATCAGAGTGAGGTTGATGGTTGGACTGGATGATCTGAAAGGTCCCTTCCAACCTGGACAGTTCTGTGATTGCAGTGAGTGTTTTAACATTTATTTGCATTTCATTAAAACACAGTGTAATCAGGGGTTCCGTTGTCATCTGCACTGGGAGGTATTTAACTTTTCAGTCAAAATGAGCTGTGGAGTTGTTATTGGTAAAAGTGCTGATGTACCAAAATACATGAAAACATACATTTCTCTGGAGTTGCATTTTGTTAGATTAACCAAAGCGGGTAAAGAATAAATTGAATGTTGATCCTTCATAAACTAAAATATTCACAGAAAAATTTGTGTTCTCTATTAAAAAGATAGATTTAGATTAATTATATAGTAAGAGAAGATTTTAAAAAAATTCTCTTTAATGGTGGTCTTTTTCCCTGTAGGTTGAAGATCTCTTTTACAATGTAAATACAAGGAGGAAAGCCTTAAAAAATCCAAATGAAGAATATGCAAAAATACTCGAAGTCGTTAGCAGGTAAACTGAAATTGGAGGCTCCAATTTTTTTTTATTCAGCTATGGGGAGTACTGAGGTTTTTCAGAGGGGCTGGCATATGTGTGCTTGATGTAATTTTTTTTTTTTTTTTTACGTTGGCTTTGGGTTTTTTAACTATTTGTTAGTGTCAGATAACAATCCAGTTTGATACGGAAAATCCAGAGGAGAAATGGTGTGTTCAGTTATTCAGTCTATGACTATTACCAGTAAGAATTCCAGTAAACAAATGGTGATAGGCTTGAATGCGTGAACTCTCAATGCACTTGGGCTGAAAAGAATTCAAGGCAAAACTGTGCAGGAGCATTGAGATTTGGCTGAGTACGGAAAAGCTAAACGGCCGTTTTCATGTCCTCAAAAAAACCAAGCAAACAAAAACCGACCCCAAAACCACTTTAGTTACCAGATGTTCCCTTCTGGCCTCCCTTTGTTGCATGTTTTGCCACGTGCAGAGACTTCACTAGCAGGGTCTACGCAGTTTAATCAAAATAACTGCTTTAGGCTTCGAGTAAACACTGAAGCCGGCAGAGCAGCAGGGCTGTGTGCTGGGCGTTAGCCTGCTCTCTGCCAATGACCTACTTCAGACTTCAGCCAGGAGATGAAGGGTCAGGTCCTGCTGCTCTGTAGAACAGGCCAATCTGAAGCCTTGCAGAGTTACAGGCTTCCAACTCCTTGGGTTTGGGTTTGTTTGGTTGTTTTTTTGTTTTTTTTTTCCATTAGGATTTTACACCTTTTCACCACGGTTTTTATTTCTTCTTGAATCTTTGAGTCGCTGTCTGTCGCAGTCACACCAGTCTGCGCGGTCTCTGTCTGCATTTTAAGGTTTCTCATCTTACAAGGTGGTCCTGTGTGTTCTTCCTCAAAACTTAGCAACTTCCCTCCAAGTTTGAGCCAGGGTTACACAGCTGCAGTGTATCAGAATGTGGCTCTGGGATTGCAGACACCTGAACCGTCTGGGCAGGGGAAGTTAGAAGGGCAAACCAGCCTTTCTTCAGATCCTTTTCTGTCGTAGTTGATACTTGATTCTGTTAAACTCCAGGAGCTTTTGCAGTTGTTCCAGTTAAACCTGTACGATTAAACTAAACTAACCCGGCCTACACAAGTTGGTCAGTTGGGTGGGTTTTTTTTTTTTGGGAAATAAGCTAAGCTGCTCCTTGAGTTTCATATGATTATGGGTGAGTGATAAATAGAAAAAAAATTCTTTTATATTTGTTTAATCTACAAAAGCTCAGTTTGGTTCAAATCATGTTACAGTGTAACAGGAGATTAAATTTTTGGCCCCCATTACCAGCTGCTTTTCAGCATTCAGGGAAAGCAACCTTTTCTTTTACATACAGCAGTCTTATGTTTACCTATTTTTCAGGTATGCCATCCATAACTCAGGCATCAGCTTCTCAGTTAAAAAGGTATGTAAATAATGTCTAAAGCGTGTCTGTGTGTATGTGTGTATATATCTAAAAATGCCAGAAAACTTGCACTTCCTCTTTTGCAATGGTAATAGTGGATACAGGCTTCCCTTGTACTGAAATGGTGAAGTGTATGTTGATGCAGTTTGGATAGAAAACACATTCCTTAAGACCTGGGAGTCCTGGTGGACACCAGGATGCCCATGAGCCAGCAATGAGCCCTTGTGGCCGAAGGCTAATGGGCATCCTGGGGGGCATCAGGAAGAGTGTGAGCAGCAGGTGGAGGGAGGTCATCCTGCCCCTCTGCTCTGCCCTGGGGAGGCCCCATCTGGAGCACTGGGACCAGTTCTGGGCTCCCCAGTTCCCCAAGGAAAAGGAACTGCTGGAGAGGGGACAGCAGAGGCTACAAAGATGAGGAGGGGCCTGGAGCATCTCTCTTATGAGGAAAGGGCTGAGACTCTTAGTCTGGAGAAGAGAAGGCTGAGGGGGGATCTGATCAACACCTATAAATACTTCAAGGGTGGGTGTCAGGAGGATGGGGCCAGTCTTTTTTCAGTGGTGCCCAGAGACAGGACTCAAGGAAATGGGCACAAACTGGAACATAAGAAGTTCCATCTAAACATGAGGAGGAACTTCTTTCCTGTGAGGGTGGCAGAGCCCTGGCAGAGGCTGCCCAGAGAGGTGGTGGAGTTTCCTTCTCTGGAGACATTCAAACCCTCCCTGGACACATTCCTGTGCAACCTGCTCTGGGTGGACCTGCTTTGGCAGGGGGTTGGACTAGATGGTCTCCAGAGGTCCCTTCCAACCCCATAGCATTCTGTGATTCTGTGTAAACAAGACAAAAATATATTTGTCAGGAGTTTGGAGTTTTCTATGTAGTCGATATTTTGTTTTATCTTCAAGAACTGTTTCCGATTCTTTTGAGAGTCTGGTTACTGATTACTGGATGAAAGAGGATGGGGTAAAGTACCTTCATTCTGTGGCTTTCTTTATAGTTATTTTCTGACCTGGTTATGTTCCTCACTTTCAAAGATGCAGTTACTATCCTCAGTGGGTCTGATGTGATCTAGTAAATCTTGTCATCCTGTGCCATTTATCATCTAGTGTTTTTATGAACGCAAATAAGTAGGAAAACAAAACATTATAATGATATGATGTCCCGTGCCTTTGTTAGAAACGTATGAAGCCTAATGTATTTCTAAAACTTCAGCCAAAACTGTGAATTGATCAATACCCGTTTCTGCTCCCTTTAGCAAGGGGAGACTGTCTCAGATGTTAGAACCTTATCGAACGCCTCAACAGTGGACAACATTAGGTCCATTTTTGGAAATGCTGTTAGCAGGTACGTTGATGTCAAGTTTCCTTTTGACGTGAAGCTTTCTAGTAAATCTCCTCCTCCTCCTTTCTCTTTTGAAGAACGTGGGCTGTGCTAACTTTTTCTGTTTCCTTCAAGGTGAATTGCAGAGAAGAGGGAGTGTTGCAATAATAGAGCTCTCCCTTGCCTTGTAGAATATGTATAATTGTAGAATATGTATAACATGTAAAATTCTTTTTATATAAAAGAAAAAGAATATTTTTAGTATATCAAAGGAAAGATAGAAGTTGCAAAGCTGTTCCTTTTAGTGGACTAAAAGGAAATCATCTGCTTATAACTTTCTGGGTGCTCATTTAAAAAGAGCAAGCTGTACCTGCATTCTCTACAAGTTCCAAGCCTCTTCCTACACTATGAAAATCTTAACACCATGAAAATCTTACCACTTCTTACCACACTCTGATAGATTTTAAAGTTTCCTCAAATTCTTTTTTTTTTCTGAAATCTTACGATTTAATATTTTTACAAAAGCTACATTAGCTGAGGCTGGGTAAACCCGGCAGAAGAGTTGAAAACAAGTCAAACCAGTCATCTGTTGAAAATGTATCTGGTGCTTTAGGAAAAAATCTCTCTTTATAAGACATTCAGCTGCAAAGAATTCATTGAATGGACTTGGCGGGATGGATTTGTCCCAGGAACACTTGAGTGTCAGTTTGATTCATTTACTAAAGTCACACTTCCTGTGTAAGGAGTAACTTTTAATACATGGAAACACCTTTATGAAACGCAGCAAATTAGAGCTTTTCCTCTGTACTGTCCTGAATAAATCGCCCATTTCAAGTGAAATGTTTTGATTAGATGTTTTGAAGTGAGACTTCTGTTGTACCCAATTTCAGAGGGTGTTTAGTCCAGCTTGTTATTTCAACTTAAAAAAACAAACAAATAAAAATCCTGCTCTATATGTTGAGGTTGAATTGGAAATAAGTAGCCCATAAGCCTTTTGCATGTTAACTTTAGAAGCTGGCATAATGCCCTGCTAGAGAGCTGTGCTCACCAACTACCGTGGTGGATTTCCTAGGCTAATAGTGAAAATGAGAAAAGCTCTTAGGAAAATTGTTAATGTTAGAATTATACTTAAAATATTACGGGTACTGTGATAAGGTAAAAAGAAACAATGCAGTTCAGGTTCAGTAATTTTTGTGAGTCAGCAGTGAATGTTTGAACTCTTAGATAATTCTAAGGTTTCCATTAACTGTGATGTAAATGGAATATAGAGCAATATATTGTTACTGGCGAGTACTGTTTGAAATTAGCATCAACAGAAAAATTAATTTTTCGTGTGTTTCTGTCAAACCGTCAATAGGGAACTGATAGAAGTGGGCTATGAAGATGCAAATCTGGCCTTTAATCTGAAAGGCTACATCACCAATGCAAATTACTCTGTGAAGAAATGTACATTTTTACTCTTCATAAACCGTAAGTTTAAAAAAAAAAAAAAAAAGCAGCACATTGTACCGTCTTATGTCGCTTACATAATAATCAAGAACAAAACTTTCTGAATAACTACAAAATGTATGAAAGTCCTTAAAAACATTGAAGAATAAGTATTGAAGTTTACTGTAGAGCTTAGAATGTTTTTCTCTGTGTAATCAACGTGCATCATGTGTTTCACTCCCAAATAGCGGAAAGCAGCTAAGACTGGCCTAAAGAAAGTTAAGCTTGTTTCAAGGTCATGATTGTGTCCTGCCAGTTTCTACACAGTGGTCCCTCTCCACTCTGTAGTGACATTGGCATGAGATGCCACAAACCGTGACTGGATGAACTAATAAAAAGGTAGTCTGGTTATTTCAGTATTTGTGGGAAGAAAATACTTCTAAATATAAAACATGCTAAGACGCTATTGCTTATTCCTGGTTTTATATGAAGAATCACAGAATGCTATGGGGTTGGAAGGGACCTCTGGAGATCATCTAGTCTAACTCCCTGCCAAAGCAGGGCCACCCAGAGCAGGTTGCACGTGTCCAGGCAGGGTTTGAATGTCTCCAGAGAAGGAGACTCCACCACCTCCCTGGGCAGCCTCTGCCAGGGCTCTGCCACCCTCACAGGAAAGAAGTTCCTCCTCAAATGGAACTTCTTATGTTCAAGTTTGTGTCCATGTCGTCTTGTCCTGTCCCTGGGCACCACTGAAAAAAGACTGGCCCCATCCTCCTGACACCCACCCTTGAAGTATTTTATAGGTGTTGATCAGATCCCCCCTCAGCCTTCTCTTCTCCAGACTCAAAAGCCCCAAGTCCCTCAGCCTTTCCTCCTAAGAGAGATGCTCCAGGCCCCTTATCATCTTTGTAGCCTCTGCTGTCCCCTTTCCAGCAGTTCCCTGTCCTTCTGGAACTGGGGAGCCCAGCACTGGACCCAGTGCTCCAGATGGGGCCTCCCCAGGGCAGAGCAGAGGGGGACAATGACCTCCCTCCATCTGCTGGTAACACTCTTTTTAATGCCCCTCAAGATGCCATTGGCCTTCTTGGCCACCAGGGCCCATTGCTGGCTCATGGGCATCCTGGTGTCCCCCAGGACTCCCAGGTCTTTCTCCTCAGAGCTGCTCTCCAGCAGGTCAGCCCCAACCTGTCCTGGTGCAGGGGGTTATTCCTCCCCAGGTGCAGCACCCGACACTTGCCCTGGTTGAATTCCATCAGGTTCCTCTCTGCCCAACTCTCCAGCCTGTCCAGGTCTCCCTGTATGGTGGCACAGCCTTCTGGGGTGTCAGCCACCCCTCCCAGAGTTGCAGCATCAGCAGACTTGCTGAGGGTACACTCCATCCCTTCATCCAGGTCATTGATGAATATATTGAAGAGGACCGGCCCCAGTACTGGATAAATAAGTCCTGGGGAAAAAAAAAAAGGGTATAACGGGTGCCTTTTGAAGATAGGAAGCGTGAAGGTGTTGGTCTGAAGGAATCCTGGGGCACTGTGCAGTGTGTTTCAGTGGGGCTCTGGGATAATTAGGGATAATAGGATTTTGTTCTGTGTTTCAGATCGATTGGTGGAGTCGGCCGCTTTGCGGAAAGCCATAGAAACTGTGTACGCTGCTTATTTGCCAAAAGGTACCCACCCATTCCTATACTTAAGGTAAAGTAAGAGGAAAAAGTATAGTCTTTTAATACTACCTTGTAGGATATAGCTGGGTTGAGTGGGTTTAGAGGGACACTTATGTTCCTGAGAGTAGCGTTAAGCGTTGCACTGAGGTACCTCATTGCCAGACAGGGGATAACTAAATTGCATTAAAGAAATCTTAAGAAGATGGGCCTTCTTTTTGGAAGTAGTGAGTGTCTATAATTTCAGCATAAGACCTTTGATGTTACGGATGCTTTTCACTTCAGAGCATGAGTTACTCTAGGAATACAGCAGAGCACGTAGGATGGGTCAGATCATTTATTCCAAACTCATTAACCTTTTACCTTGCTGGGGTTTTTATTTGTATCCATATTTTTAACAGTCGACGTTCTTGGTATGCTAAGGTAACGGAAAGAAGTCAACTGAATTGCATGCTGCTTACAGGAAATAAATAATTTTTTAGAGTCAGGTAAGAGCAAAAATTGTACAGGAATTGTCCTTCAAAAATTGAAGAATATGCCACAGAATGGAAAACCTGGCTTTGTAATTGCTGAGCAATTGGATCTTGCCATTCACCAGGGAAACTCACTGATGTGCAGTGCTTTCTATAGCCAGTGCTTTCTAGCAATAAAGCTCTTTTAATTGAGTTCCTGCTTGGGATTATGGTGAAATGACAGGTCATCAGAAGTCATTAACTCATGAGAGACACCGTAACTCAAAGATATTTCTAAAAACTGTTTTGTAGTAGTACAATGGAGAGTTTGGTTGAAGCTTACCTATGGAAGCTGATTTTTGTGAAGTTTGGAATAGACTTTTTCAGAATAATTATTTATTTAATACACTACAGTCAGATTTGTTTGGTATAACTATAGCAGGTTTCAGGCCTATCTTGGCTTCTCTGCATGGAGTAATGCTCCCAAGTCTGACACATTTTGTACTAAACAAATTAGTGCCCTCTCTGCCATCCAGGGGAAATGGGAGGTTAACTTCTTTTAACGTGTTTTGCAGCCTGGAAATAGCCCCCCAGAACGTAGATGTGAACGTGCACCCTACAAAACACGAGGTCCACTTCCTTCATGAAGACAGCATTCTGGAGCGCGTGCAGCAGCACGTCGAGAGCAAGTTGCTGGGCTCTAACTCTTCAAGGATGTACTTCACTCAGGTGAGGATGCACCTTTCAGGGGAGCACAGCTCTGCACTATTTCTGTCGTGGACACATTTCCTTACTTCAGCAGTACAATTTCTGCAGTGACTGATAGTCACTGATATAACTGATACCAGTTATACTGGTAGCCTGAGATCTTTGCTCTGTTTCGGGGATGAAACTGCCTAATTATACCAACGTTAACAATGTGGCAGTGAACTTACTGGAGGAAACAGCGGACGTAAACATTTTACGTGCCTTTCTGTCAAGTATCTGTTGCATCTTTTTTATTTTACAAGTATATTAGCCTTCACATGCAGTAAATTGTTTTCATTCTGCTTTGGTTTATGTGAGTACTGTGTGTATGTGAGTACTGGAGTACTGTGTCCAGTTCTGGGCTCCCCAGTTCAAGAGGGACAGGGAACTACTAGAAAGAGTCCAGCGTAGGGCTACAAAGATGATTCAAGGATTGGAGCATCTCCCTTATGAGGAGAGACTGAGAGAGCTGGGACTCTTTAGTCTGGAGAAGAGAAGGCTGAGGGGAGACCTTATCAACGCCTACAAGTATCTCAAGGGAGGGTTGAAGGAGGAGGGAGCCAGACTCTTTTCAGTGGTTCCCACTGAGAGGACGAGGGGCAACGGGCACAAGTTGGAACAGAAGAGGTTCCACTCAAATATGAGGAGAAACTTCTTCACAGTGAGGGTGACAGAACCCTGGAACAGGCTGCCCAGGGAGGGTGTGGAGTCCCCTTCCTTGGAGATTTTCAAGACCCGCCTGGATGCTCCTGAGTAACATGCTCTAGCTCTAGGCAATCCTGCTTCAGCAGGGGAGTTGGACTAGATGATCTCTATGGTCCCTTCCAACTCTAAAAATTCAGTGAAATTCAGTGAAACGTGTGTGTCTGAGAAAATGGATTGTTCTGTGTATTGGACAACAACCTTGGATTTAATCTAAAAGAAAACGATCATGGAAAAAGACTTCCTAATCTCTCTTTATATAGAGCAGAGTGCTTTTTTTTGCATTTAAATATTGTCTCTGAGACAAGGGAATGCTAACTGCCGAGATGATAATATTCATGCTACGTGTAGAGCAAGTGCAGAGTTGGCAGCCTCTTTAAGCAGTCGATGCTGTGTTTGCGGGGCTTTAAAGTCACTTGCCTCTGAGCGGTTTTCGTCTTTGTGATTCATTTGCTTTTTTTCCTTGTTGGTGAATCTCTTTGTCTTTACTTCCCCGTATCTGAACGAAGACGTTGCTTCCGGGGGCCGACTGTTCTTCCAGTGAGGTTGTAAAACCAGCAGCAAACCCTTCGGCCGTTGCCAAGGGGACCGGCGATAAAATTTATGCCCATCAGATGGTCCGCACCGATTCCCGGGAGCAGAAGCTGGATGCTTTTCTTCAGCCAGTGAACAACCCCCTGAGCACAGGCCCCACCGAAGGGACAACGGGGGCCGATGCTGGACCTCCAGAGGGTGCAGTCAGGGCACAGGATGCTGAGATGGAAGATGTCAGTGACCTCGTTGAAGGGGCAGATGTTCAGGAGGACACAGCGATGCCCGGAGGGCTGAGTGAGAGTGGACGCTTGTCTCCTGAGACAGTGCCTCCTCGGTAAGTCTCCTCATTCCTGTCATCGTGCAAGGCTACCTTATTTATTTCGTGGTGTGGCCCTGAAACTGAACGATTTTCCTGATCTCTTTGGACTTCTGCTTTCTCAGAAGGAAAAATTTTCTTACAATAACTTTCCGTGGCATCTTATTGAAAAATTTAACTGGCATCTCTGAACTGCAAATCACATAACTTGTGATTTTGTAACTGGGCTGCAATGCAGAAAGGAAGGGAGCAGTATAAATAATGACATACTTTGAGTTTAGGGATACTGATCTGTCTGTCTTTGGGAGGCCCCTCTTTTGTGGGGAGGGATAGAAACTACATCACCAAATTTTGCAGACATTACCCTAGTAAAGGTGGAAGTGCTATAATCTTTCCATAGCTCCTCCAGGAGCTTCTATGAGAGGCCAAAGTCTTCTGAGGGAATCTGATCCCACTCCCCCAGTGTTACAGAAAAATAATAATGAAAAAAATCTTTAGAAATATCGACATTTTTTATGTCCTTTAGAGCTCAGTTCGCTTGGTGCTTAAACAACAGTTGTCTGATGTGGTTGGTATTAGAGAGTTGTAAATTCTTTTATGGACTACCTTTTCCTACCAAATTATGCCTTGGAAGTAAAATGGAACAGGATTTTTTTTCTAGGAAGCTCTGGAAAACTTTCTGCATTTCCTGTGTTAATGCACAGCACGCAAACCGCGCATCCCATCTGTTGGAGTGTTTTGCCTAAGTGAGAAGAGAATTAAATATCATTCCTTTTTTTATTTTTGGGCACTGCAGAAAGAGACCCCGGGAAGATGCAGACATAGAAATGGAGAAAGATGACCCCAGAAAGGACATGACTGCTGCCTGCACCCCTAGGAGAAGAATTATCAATCTGACCAGTGTATTGACTCTTCAGGAGGAAATCAGTAACCAGGCACATGCAAGTAAGTGAGCCTTTTGGTTCTCAAGATGATTGTTATTCTACCAACAGAGAATTCCAGAGTGTACCCTCAGCAAGTTTGCTGATGATACCAAACTGGGAGGGGTGGCTGACACCCCGGAGGGCCGTGCTGCCATCCAGAGAGACCTGGACAGGCTGGAGGGCTGGGCAAGGAAGAACCTCATGAGGTTCAACAGGGAAAAGTGTAGGGTCCTGCACTTGGGGAAGAAAAATGTCAGGCACCAATACAGGTTAGGGGTGGACCTGCTGGAGGCAACTACTGAAGAGAAAGATCTAGGGGTCCTGGTGGACAGTAAAATGACAATGAGCAAACAGTGTGCTCTTGTGGCCAGGAAGGCCAATGGGATCCTGGGCTGCGTAGGGAAGAGTGTGGCCAGCAGGTCAAGGGAAGTCATTCTCCCCCTCTGCTCTGCACTGGGGAGGCCACAACTGGAATCCTGTGTCCAGTTCTGGGCTCCTCAGTTCAAGAGGGACAGGGAACTACTAGAAAGAGTCCAGCGAAGGGCAACAAAGATGATTCAAGGATTGGAGCACCTCCCTTATGAGGAGAGACTGAGAGAGCTGGGACTCTTTAGTCTGGAGAAGAGAAGGCTGAGGGGAGACCTTATCAATGCTGACAAGTATCTCAAGGGTGGGTTGAAGGAGGAGGGAGCCAATCCTTTTCAGTGGTTCCCAGTGAGAGGACGAGGGGCAACGGGCACAAGTTGGAACATAAGAGGTTCCACTCAAATATGAGGAGAAACTTCTTCACGGTGAGGGTGGCAGAGCCCTGGAACAGGCTGCCCAGGGAGGGTGTGGAGTCCCCTTCTTTGGAGATTTTCAAGACCCGCCTGGATGGTCCTGAGTAACATGCTCTAGCTCTAGGCAATCCTGCTTCAGCAGGGGAGTTGGACTAGATGATCTCTATGGTCCCTTCCAACTCTAAAAAATTCAGTGAAATTCAGTGAACTATATATGATCCGTGGAAAGGGTTATTGCACATTGGCCTGGGCTGCCCAGGGCAGTGGTTGAGGCCCCATCCCTGGAGGGATTGAAAAGCCGGGTTGACCTAGTGCTTAGAGACATGGTTTGGTGATGGGTTTTATCAGAGTGAGGTTGGTGGTTGGTCTAGAGGATCTGAAAGGTCCCTTCCAACCCAGACAACGCTGTGATTCTAAGAGGAAGGGTGTAGCAGTGACTGAGCAGCAATCTGACACTTCAACACTAAAATGACACGAACCGCTCAACTAAAAAAACCAAGGCAGAGTCACCAATGTGACACTATATCCTTCTCTCTTCCCCACCCCCTCAACTGTTTCAGATCTTCAGGAGATGCTCCATGATCACTCCTTTGTTGGCTGTGTCAGTCCTCAGTGGGCTCTGGCCCAATATCAGACTAAACTCTATCTTCTCAATACAACAAAACTCAGGTAAAGGAGCTGTTGGACTTGTTGACAGTAGAAATAAGTACCAATTACCCAGCTAATTAGAAGGAAGAAAACGACAGGAAAACCAACGTTATTTTCTTGTTGCCTGTCCAAAAAGTCTTGAGGCTGAAGACGAAGCAGTCGGTTCAGAATGGTGGAAACAAGGCTGGGATGCTCAGGAAAAGTTGCAGGGAATGAGTGTGATTAAAATGCTGGCTTCTGTATGGTGTGCTCACGGACTGGGGGAAGGGAGAGGTGTTTTATTTGCTTTGTGATCATCTGCAGCAGCACCCGGTCTTGCACCACACCGTAGATAAAGATGAGCAAGTGGAGGCTGTTTAACATTTTTATCAATGATATAGACAGGGAGATTAAAGGCACCATCAGCAAGTTTGCGGATGACACCAAGCTGTGTGGTGCTGTCGATGCACCAGAGGGACGGGATGTCATCCAAAAGGACCTGGACAGGCTGGAGAGGTGGGCCCAGGTGAACCTCATGAGGTTCAACAAGAGCAAGTGCAAGGTTCTGCACCTGGGCCGGAACAATCCTCGCCACCAATACAGACTGGGGGGTGAGGTGTTGGAAAGCAGCCCTGAGGAAAGGGACTTGGGGGTGCTGGTGGACGAGAAGCTGGACATGAGCAGGCTGTGGGCAGCTGCAGCCCAGAAGGCCAATCACATCTTGGGCTGCATCAAAAGAAGCGTTGCCAGCAGGTCCAGAGAGGGGATTCTGCCACTTTACTCTGCTCTGGTGAGACCTCACCTGGAGTATTGTGTGCAGGTCTAGTGACAGGACGAGGGGCAATGGCTTCAAGCTGGAGGGGAGCAGATTTAGACTGGAGATTAGAAGGGGGTTCTTTACTGTGAGGGTGGTGGAGCACTGGAACAGGTTGCCCAGGGAGGTGGTTGAGGCCCCTTCCCTGGAGATATTCAAGGTGAGGCTCGACGAGGCCCTGGGCAACCTGGTCTAGTTGGGGGTGTCCCTGCTGACTGCGGGGAGGTCGGACTGGATGACCCTTGGAGGTCCCTTCCGGCCTGGACAATTCTATGATTCTATGAAAAGTCACATAAGACCTTGTATCCAGTTGGGTGAAGAGAAGCTGCAGGAGACACGATCATAACCACAAAGTTTGTATTTTTGGTATGCAGCCTTACAGGGCCAGCTACCTAAATTTTGTAACAAATAAGAGAATATACTTAAGATGGACATGTCTGTGGATTTCCAAGCTCCTAGGTATTTCTTGCAGTAAAGAGGTTGAAATAGAAGGTATTTGGGAATGAATTCATAGTGGCTGCATGCTTGTGTCTGTAACATTTCTGCACCAGTGTGGCTCATGCTATCAGAAACCAAGAAATAGATTTAATTGTAAACATCTAGATGGTGTTAACTAAACAGTTTAAGTAATATCCTTGTTAATAGGAAGGGATATGTCTGATGTTTCCAAGATGACCCTTACTTTCCCCTCTTAATTATGGTAACTTGGAGATATGTGATCCTGTCCATATAACTAATTTTTGTACTTCAATTTAGCCAAGAACTCTTCTACCAGATACTTATTTATGACTTTGCAAACTTTGGAGTCTTAAGGTTGTCTGTAAGTACAATTTTTACATTATATCCTATATAAAAAGATTTTATTTAAAAATTTATTTACAGTAAGCCTGTCCTTTTAGACAAATGTTGGGGTTTGTCCACTGCAAGAGCTATGTTTCATTTCTTTAACAATAAGAATGGAATGTAGAAAAGTGTCAGTAATTTTGGAGCTGCTGCTGTAAGTTGTCATCCTGGCAGTTTGGCATTAGATTCTTGCTGCTGCTCGTTATATTTGAACCTATAGTTAATTTAAATGCACAAGTTGTCGTCAGAAATCCAATGTTTATCCTGTAAATATCATAGCACTTTCCAGGATTATAGATTAGGCAGATTTCTATGAGAAATCCATACACTTTAGGCTGATTATGATAAACAGAACTGTTTGTGGGCCAGAAATGGTCTATTAAAATTAGCTTATATGTGAAGGAAGAAGCTATAGATTTCCAATACAGCGTGTTGATCATTAACACCACTTTGGCCTTCTCCATTTTTTAGGAGCCAGCTCCTTTATATGAGCTTTCAATGCTTGCTTTAGAGGATCCTGAAAGTGGCTGGACAGAAGAAGATGGCCCGAAAGAAGGGCTTGCTGAGTACATCGTGGAGTTCCTGAAAAAGAAGACTGAAATGTTGAAAGATTATTTTTCTCTTGAAATTGATGAGGTGACTGCCACTGTTACTTCTGACAGTGACTGAAGGGTGAACTTGGCAGCTTTAGATTTATGGTTGGACTTGATGATCTTACAGGCCTTTTCCAAAAGGCTGAGGGATTTGGGTCTTTTGAGTCTGGAGAAGAGAAGGCTGAGGGGGGATCTGATCAACACCTATAAATACTTCAAGGGTGGGTGTCAGGAGGATGGGGCCAGTCTTTTTTCAGTGGTGCCCAGGGACAGGACAAGAGGAAATGGGCACAAACTGGAACATAAGAAGTTCCACCTAAACATGAGGAGGAACTTCTTCACTGTGAGGGTGGCAGAGCCCTGGAAGAGGCTGCCCAGAGAGGTGGTGGAGTCTCCTTCTCTGGAGACATTCAAACCCCACCTGGACACGTTCCTGTGCAACCTGCTCTGGGTGGCCCTGCTCTGGCAGGGGGTTGGACTAGATGATCTCCAGAGGTCCCTTCCAACCTCATAAACAAATAACATAGTCCTCACATCCATAACTAGAATGCAGGTCTCTTCTCCAAAATAACATAGTCCTCGCTTCCATAACTAGAATGCAGGTCTCTTCTCCAACATGGGGTGCAGCTTCACCCACTCTCTAGCCAGGCCAGGCTACAGCATCACTATTGCTCTCTGTCTTTTTTGGTCTTTTGGGTTGGGGGTTTTTTTTTGGGGTGCGTGGCCTAAATGCATCCTTTACTCCATGCAAAACTGAAGTTTTGTCAAGCATCACGTAACCCAGACATTTCACTGAGAGATTCTCCTGGGAAGTGAGGTCTGTGTAGTCGATGGGTAGAGGTAGAGGAGGCTGAATTCGGGTCTTCCTGAGCTGAGTGGCTTAAATCCAGGCTTCAGGAAGTTAAATATTGCCACTAACCCTCTTCCTGCAACCTCTGCCTGACACCAGGCTTCAAAAACCTTGAACTTCACATGCCCCTAAGGCTCACCAAGTTGGGGAAGAATCCGTGTTACAATATGGAACAGGTTTGGTGCATTTACTGTAAGAAAGAACGTTGTTTTACTGAAGCAACCCTTGCCTTGCAGGAAGGAAACCTCCTTGGGTTACCACTGCTGATAGACAACTACGTTCCCCCGCTGGAAGGACTGCCCATGTTCATCCTTCGCTTGGCCACGGAGGTAGAGTCTCTTAATGATGTTATGCAATATCACAAATTGCTGCTTCTGTTGAGGAAAGGATGAAGTGAATCACGTTAATTCATCAGAGGAAAGGCTGGGGTTGGTTAAATGCACCGTTAAACACTGCAGATGCTTTTTGCTGTGGTGATTGGTTGTGCTTTGCCTCTGCATTCACGACCACTGATTGAGAACAGATGTTGATTTGATGTTGATTTGATCTTGATTCCTGCCTTCTTTTGTTGTTCTATACTTTACCTTATCAGCACAAAAATGGCCAAGCCATTATTATGATTTTTCCATATTAAGAGTCTCTATCGAGTCTCTGACTGCCACCCACATTCTGGTTTGTGGTTGGTTTTTTTTTTTCTTGTACCAGGTAAACTGGGATGAAGAGAAGGAGTGTTTCGAAAGCCTAAGTAAAGAATTAGCCATGTTCTACTCCATCAGAAAGCAATACATCATAGATGAAGCCAACCAGGCCAACTCTCAGGTACGAGAATACGTAACCAGGCATTTCAACCAAAAAACCCCACTAACACCACACAGGAAAAGTTCTTTTCTCAGCTGTAGACTTTTAGTCCCAACTCTACTCTTGGTGAAGCGAATCAAGTAACCAAGATTCTGAAAGGCTCTGCCTTACATAAAAAATACATAGAAAATTTTATATGTGGCTGATGTTTTATGTGTATTAAGAGAACCTTTTAACTTTGGGTATTGCAGTGTATTTAGAGGCCAAGGACTGTTGCAATATTGAGAGGTTTTTTTTTTTTTTTAAACTGCTGAGCTGTGCTAAAATTTCTGTAGAAGATTAAGGATACGTACAAATTATGTATTTTTTTTTTTTAAACTGCTGAGCTGTGATAAAATTTCTGTAGAAGATTAAGGATACATATAAACTAAAAATACTGTCTGCTCGTGTCCAAGCTTGTGTTTAATCACACAGTTAATTAAGAAGCCCATTCTGCAAGTGACTTTCCAGAGCTTAAAATTAGCTTTGACTGTTCAGAATGAACTTCTCTAATACCAGCAGAATTTTACAATTGCTGTTTCTTAAGGGGTGCTCCTCTAGTAAAAGAGAATTTCAGTTTAATTGTTTTTTGGGAATTTTTTTTTTTTTTTTTTTGAATGAAGACTCTGACTCTGCTTCAACAACGTGGAAATGGACCGTGGAACATGTTCTTTACAAAGCTTTTAGGAATCATCTTTTACCTCCTAAGCACTTCACAGAAGATGGCAACATTTTGCAGCTTGCTAACCTGCCTGACCTGTACAAAGTTTTTGAGAGATGCTGAGCTAGTACTTCTTATAGACTGGTCCATTTTTTTTGAAAAAAAAAATTTGTGCTGCTTTGTGTTTTATTTATAGGATAAAGCTAGAATCTTGATTGAAAAAAGAAAAAGAGAGGATTTAAAATCCTACTGACACAGTAGCAAATGGTCTATTTTCCTTCTGTTGATCAAAGAATAAAAAGAATCTTTTTAGCTACGTCTAAACCCAACTAAAGTTTCTAAAAGAAAATCTCCACTTATGCTTTTGAGTTTCACTATTAAGCAACACACTAATAATTACAAGGTGACAACCAGCTCATGGTAGCGGTTTGCACAACAGCTTGCTGGGTTTTGGGGGTTTGGCTTTTTTTTTTCTCTTTGATTCTTCATTCAAATCTCCTTCTTGAAACAAGACTCATTTCAACTCTCCTTTTCAAGCCCAATAAAAGGAAAACCCCCCAAATTTGCTGTGTTTCCAACAGTTCACAAGTTGAGCTTTTCAAAACTAGGAACCCCCTAGGATGAGCTGCTTTCTTGCCTCCTTGTTTAGCTGCTCAAATCAACTCAATTACTCCTGAGTTGCAGGAAAGGGGAAGAATTTTATGAAAACAGTTGATACACATTAGTTCAGCTGAGTTAAACGTTCAACTCCAGATTCTGCTGTTATTTTATTGTGGGTTTTTTTTTTTCTGAGCACAACTTGCATCACCAAAACAAAAAATCAGCTTTTGAGAAATCTACTGCGACAGCTGGTACCGATGCCATCAGAATTCAGATTCAAGGTTATTTTGTCTCAAGCTCCTGCCACCAGATTGTTTAAAAGGCAGCAGGGTTCACTCGTGCTACTTAAGCCCCATCCCTGGAGGTGTTTAAAAGCCGGGTTGACCTAGTGCTTAGAGACATGGGTTAGTGATGGTTTTGATCAGAGTGAGGTTGATGGTTGGAATAGGTGATCTGAAAGGTCCCTTCCAACCTGGACAATTCTATGACTCTACGATTCTAGGTTAACACTTAAAATCTGTATCTGAGAATACCTTTCACTTAGACTCCAGTGGAATGACTGACTCCCTCCCTTTCACTGCTGAGGTAATATCACAGATGGCAAAGGCTCACTTACTCCAGTTTCTTCCTTGAACCTGAAGAACATCCACCACCAGTACAGGAGCTGGAACCAAGTTATTTCAGAAAGCCCCTGGCATCCTTTTGCTCATCACATCTGCAACAACGAGATGATGTTCCACTGCAGCTCACACTGTGTCCCTGCAGGCAGCCAAACAGCACCAGAACCATCTGTGCAAACTGGAATCCTCCTTTCCCCACAAGAAATAAAGATGTGGTTCATGCGGATTTTCAGTTTATAACAACAAGAAAATATCATCCCGCGTTACACATTTTAACATTTTTATTTTAGAAAGTGAACATACCCATTAAAAAAAAACATAATGCATGGAGTTAAAAAAAAAAAAAAATCTGTATCTGAGAATACCTTTCACTTAGACTCCAGTGGAATAACTGACTCCCTTCCTTTCACTGCTGAGGTAATCCCACAGTTGGCAAAGGCTCAGTTTCCTCCTCGAACCTGAAGAACATCCACCACCAGTACAGGAGCTGGAACCAAGTTAATTCAGAAAGCCCCTGGCATCCTTTTGCTTATCACATCTGCAACAAAGAGATGATGTTCCACTGCAGCTCACACTGTGTCCCTGCAGGCAGCCAAACAGCACCAGAACCATCTGTGCAAACTGGAATCCTCCTTTCCCCACAAGAAATAAAGATGTGGTTCATGCGGATTTTCAGTTTATAACAACAAGAAAATATCATCCCGCGTTACACATTTTAACATTTTTATTTTAGAAAGTGAACATACCCATTAAAAAAAAACATAATGCATGGAGTTAAAAAAAAAAAGTAAACATAAAACTAATGACAAATTTGCAATAACATAAAATAGTTTTACCTCGTGAGTCCCAACAATCTTTAAATATACTTTCATCATAGAGAAGTTTCATTATATTACCGGTCTCTTGATTAGGTACACAAGACAACACGTTCCAGTAATTACCTAGTCATTAGAAGATCAACTTCAGGAATCACTGAATAATAATAATAATAATATACATCATGGACAAATATTTTCATACCACCTGGGAGGCAACCTAATATACACGTCAACAAGGTAGAGCTTTGTGAGGTATCACAGTACAGGGGAACCCTTCCCTTTGCTCTCTAAGGAACACCTTCTCCTCTGGGCAGCTCCACCACCAAGTCCACCACAGGCTCCATGGCCGGTTTTCAAACCCCAACAACTTCCCTCAGAGATTTTTTTCTTTCTGTAACAGACGACACGGGTCAGGATGAACAAAGACGCCGAGCGGAGAAAACATATTGAAAACAGGGAGGCTGAAAGGAAAAAGTCATCTGCTCTATAGGAGATTACAAATCAGAAGCTTCAGCTTCTCAAGAACATTCAATACCTGCCCTAGCTGGAGGTTTGCCATGTGTGAAGTGAAATGCAAGAGGCGAGAGAATTTAAGAAGTAAATGAAGTCATTTCCAAAATAAGGAAGTCACAGCTTATATTTAACCTGAGTACACTCCAAAAACCTTGCTGTGATGGAATCCCTTTGTAGTATTAAACAGGTTAAAGGAGGGAAGATCCCAAACTGCAATCTTTGAGATGAATATATTTCTCCTAGACTTACACCTCCTCCTAGCACTCCTGCATTGCTATCTCCAAATAAATAGCTCTCCCCACTTCCAGAAAAAGGAGCTTTTAACATCTAGTCCACCATTTGTCCTTTCCAGGACAGCCAACAAGTAAATGCTGGGGGTGTTCCAGCCCAAGCCTGCAGCCTTTTATACGATACTCCTGACCTGCTCCCTCCTGGGCCTGGCTTAACCACAACTCTCAAGAGCCCGGTAGGATTTCCTTTTGAAGGCAGCTAAGACAGACAGGCTGGCTTAAAATTATTTGGGAAGGAACCAATGAGATATTTTTAGGAATATTCAGGTTCTATATGAAGGAATTTACCTGCTTTTTTTCATATTTGCTATACAACTGGTTTTTCACTGTCTTGTTTTTCTTCAGAGTCTTCATCAGATCCTGAAAACAGAAGACAAGGATGCTGTTAGGTCACTTGAGAGGAGGAGGAAAAAGGAAAAAAAAAAAAAAGCAGACCCATAATGGTTTATCAAAAGGACAAGGGGGAAGGGTTTTAAACTGAAAGAGGGGAGATTTAGATGAGATACTAGAAAGAAATTCTTTGCTGGGATGGTGGTGTGACACTGGAAGAGGTTGCCCTTAGAAGCTGTGGCTGCCCCATCCCTGGAGGGGTTCAAGGCCGGGCTGGATGGGGCTTGGAGCAACCTGGTCTGGTGGGAGGTGGCCCTGCCCAGGGCAGGGAGTTGGAACTGGATGATCTTTGAGGTCCCTTCCTACTCTGACCATTCTGTGATTCTATGACTTTCACTTGGAATCATTAATTACACTTGACATTGTCTCCGGACTTCGCCATCCCTAGATGGAGCTCTCAGTCAGTCATTCTCCCCAAGAGGCTCATCAACCACGGAGACAGCCCTTCAACACAAACATTTCACCAAGCTGTATAAGTCTATAATGCCAAGAGAGGCAAATGTAGCTCTAGCAATTAGCAGATATTAATACTTCACTTGGAATCATTAATTACACTTGACATTGTCTCAGCACTTCGCCATCCCTAGATGGAGCTCTCAGTCAGTCATTCTCCCCAAGAGGCTCATCAACCACGGAGACAGCCCTTCAACACAAACATTTCACCAAGCTGTATAAGTCTATAATGCCAAGAGAGGCAAATGTAGCTCTAGCAATTAGCAGATATTAATACTTTCAATATATAGCATAACACAGCACAGCTTTACAGAAAAGATTTACATTTGGGGGTTAAAAGAGACTGACGTAGGATTTTGGGGGTTCATGCTGTGTCCTCAAATAGCTCCAACCCATTTAACCCATTTAACCCATTACTCATTTCTTTGAAACGCCTGCGAACACATTCTCAAATCTTGCAGTATTTTCCATTTATTTTTTGGCTAAAGAAATTACTCATTTCTTTGAAACGCCTGCGAACACATTCTCAAATCTTGCAGTATTTTCCATTTATTTTTTGGCTTCCTCAGCTCACATCTCAAGGAGAACAAAGCACATGATACATAGAGTCAAGATTTAATTAACCCTCAGTTTAATACACCCACACAGAGAGCCTTTTTATACAGAGAGGGCTTTTTTGCTTTTGTTCAGATAATGGAAAAGAGTCTTTGAAATGTCAGTTGGCTTTAGGGCAGTATTGGGTTCACTCTCCATCCTAAGATTCTATAAAGCTCCAATTTTAGGCTGGATTAAATAGCGCGTTGCTGCATAAACTGTAGTGCTAGCAGGGAAGAGATCACAGAACCATAGATCTCACATTGGAAGGGACCCATGAAGATCATCAATGACAGAAGCAAAGAAGAACCACCTCCTTACAGTTGCGCTACCATTTTCTTTCAGCCTTCTCTTGTTTTTAACACCTTTGGGGCATGTCAGAAGCCTCCCTACGGGTACTGTAGTTCATCTGATGGGTAGTAACTAAACTGAATTGATCAATAAAAATTAATCTTTCATTTTAGGACTATGAAGTACTCTCCCAGCTCTCTGCTATGGCAAAACCCCAGAAGGTCACAGACTTGGAATGCTGTGGGGTTGGAAGGGACCTCTGGAGATCATCTAGTCCAACCCCCTGCCAAAGCAGGTCCACCCAGAGCAGGTCCCACAGGAACGTGTCCAGGGAGGGTTTGAATGTCTCCAGAGAAGGAGACTCCACCACCTCCCTGGGCAGCCTCTGCCAGGGCTCTGCCACCCTCACAGGAAAGAAGTTCCTCCTCATGTTGAGGTGGAACTTCTGATGTTCCAGTTTGTGCCCGTTCCCTCTTGTCCTGTCCCTGGGCACCACTGAAAAAAGCCTGGCCCCATCCTCCTGACACCCACCCTTGAAGTATTTATAGGTGTTGATCAGATCCCCCCGCAGTCTTCTCTTCTCTGGGACTAAAAAGCCCCAAGTCCCTCAGCCTTTCCTCATAAGAGAGATGCTCCAGGCCCCTCATCATCTTCATAGCCCTTTGCTGTCCCCTCTCCAGCAGTTCCCTGTCCTTCTGGAACTGGGGAGCCCAGAACTGGACCCAGTGCTCCAGATGGGGCCTCCCCAGGGCAGAGCAGAGGGGCAGGATGACCTCCCTCCACCAGCTGGTCACACTCTTTGTGATGCCCCCCAGGATGCCATTGGCCTTCTTGGCCACCAGGGCCCATTGCTGGCTCATGGTCACCCTGTTGTCCACAAGAGCTCCCAGGTCTTTCTCCTCAGAGCTGCTCTCCAGCAGGTCACCCCCAACCTGTCCTGGTACAGTGGGTTATTCCTCCCCAGGTGCAGCGCCCTACACTTGCCCTTGTTGTCCCAGAAAGAAAATTCAGCTCATTTCTTTTGAAAAGGAAAGTAATATTTTTTTTCCCTTTACCCACCGCCCACCTTGCCCTCTGAAGGGTGTGAAATGCGCAGGAGTTTAATGACAAGATGAAAAAAAAAATCACTCATTTACAGGAACATAACTACCTGCTACTGATTCAGGAGGAGAATAGAACTGCCCGTCGGAGAGGACTCCTGGGTGAAGAAGAGCTGCTCGTTCAGAAGCATCCTGTGCTATCAAAAATCCTAAAAGGGAAAATACCAAAACCCCATAAATCCTCAGTGCTATCACATAGCGTCTTAAAGATCAAGTAGTGATGAAGAATCTCAGACTGATATAACGAGTTACTTTGATAAACTCGTATCTCAGAAAAAAAAAAAAAAAAAAAAAAAAGGTAAACTGTCAATTTAACTTCTTTGTCTTCTGTTTGAACTGCAGGCAGCTCCGGAGCCGCTCTCCAGCAAAACAGAGAATTAAGGAATCCTTCCTTCTGCTACGTGCAACTACGTGATTAGGACGTGGATGCAAATTCATCAATATTCAGTGGCTAAATAAAACTTGGAAATCTATTTTTAATGATCAACAAGCTGCTCACGTCTACTCTTCCTAGAAGAGGAACCAGACATTTACTCTATGTGTTACCCAGAAAATATAATTTTACAAGCCCAAGTCGGTTAAATTTTCCCATCTTAAGCATCCAAAAGATGTACATTCCCAAGTGCTCGACAAACTGCTGATCTGGCCCTTGTAACTTTTAACTTTTCCTCCCGAAATTAATTCCAAAACCCCACTTGTATGAAGGCGTATGTTCCTTTCCACAAAAAAAAAGACTAATTATGCCATATGATTTCATCTTTCCCACAGCTTTTCAAATTCTGAGGAGCTGAAGGAAGCATCCTTCTGCCGACGGGCCGTTGCCAGCCGCAGCAATTGAGGGGAAATATCAAAAAAAAAAAAAACTTACTGTTTTCTTCTTCAGCTTCTTGCGGTAACACTTTAAAGTCCAAAAACCAAGTTTCGATCCAAGCGAGTATGAAGGAGATGATGGGCAGCACGTAGCCAAAAGCACCCTGTGAGAACAGCTTGAAAGAAACAAAAACCACACAACGTTATAGAAATTCCCCTGAAGAATCTTACTTTCAGAAAAAAAAACAAACAAACAAAGTAAAGCAAACGTTTGATTAGAATATATACCTGTGAAATAATTACTTTTGCTAATAAAAAGGCACTGGTCACTGCTGTTGTAAACTGAAAGAGACAGGGTAAGAACAGTTAAAACTAATAAATGGATTCATTTTCTCATTTCTGCTATTATCTATCAGTTGCAACTTTATAAATATTTACCAACAACAGCAAGATCACAGATTAAGAAAATGTAACAAGTGAAATACAATTAACTTAAAGTGCTATTAAAATAACCTCCTTGATTAAGATAACTTCTAAATAGGGACAGCTCCAAATGTTGATTTCCACACAGCAGACAGGCTGAGTTTTATAAATTGGGATCTTACTGTATAAAGAAGATGTGCTATTTTATTCACCAAGTCCCTTAAAAAAAACCCTCTACCCACGTATTCGGGAAAAAGCCAGCAGCAATTGCTCCAAAATCTTTTCACTCCCATCCAAATCTAAAGATCCATTTCAAACGACAAAAAAAACATCTTTGCAGGGGTAAATTTGGTAAATTTGAATTAATATTTACCTCCGGACAGTGATACTGTGAAAAAATGAATCACTTTAAAGACCTGAGACTCCCTGACATATTTTAAAAGTGGCAGGCTGAAAAAAAAACCAAAAAAACCCCAAAAAAGCAGCGGGCACGTAGTGTTCACTAAAGTAAAGCTTCTAACTCTATTAGTGCGTTTGGGTCCAGGAATTCTTTAAATAATCACAGAATCTCACCAGCTTCTGGTAAGCAAAGGGAGGATTTGAAGAGAAATGGCTTTAAGATAAAAGGCAAAACCTTCAGTGAAGCATTACGTATGTAATTATAGAATCATAGAATTTCCCAGGCCGGAAGGGACCTCCAAAGGTCATCCAGTCCCACCTCCCCGCAGTCAGCAGGGACACCCCCAACTAGACCAGGTTGCCCAGGGCCTCGTCGAGCCTCTCCTTGAATATCTCCAGGGATGGGGCCTCAACCACCTCCCTGGGCAACCTGTTCCAGTGCTCCACCACCCTCACAGTGAAGAACCCTCTCCTCATCTCCAGTCTAAATCTGTTCCCCTCCAGCTTGAAGCCATTGCCCCTCGTCCTGTCACTACAGGCCTTTCTAAACAGGTTCTCCCCAGCCTTCCTGTAGGCCCCCTTCAGGTACTGGAAGGCTGCTATTAGGTGTCCCCGGAGCCTCCTCTTCTCCAGGCTGAACAACCCCAGCTCCCTCAGCCTGTCCTTGTAGCAGAGGTGCTCCAACCCCCTGATCATCCTTGTGGCCCTCCTCTGGACCCTCTCCATCAGGTCTATATCCTTCTTATATTGAGGGCTCCAGCCCTGCACACAATACACAAATACTGTAATTAATTGCTTCCTGCCATGATGGGTTCACTCTCACTGCCTCACCACTGTAGGGAGGTGAAGAGTGGCACTGCAAGAACCACTCTGAAGTTATACAAATAAGAGTAAGGGATTTTGAGAGGCACACGCTTAGAAATAAAGGCAGTCAGAGCAGCAGTTAGGTGTACACACGTGTGTGTGCTGTGCTAATGACCCAATTCCAAACAAATCACGGCCCAGCGCGGCAGCCCAGACCGCTGAGCACACCACATGCTGCTCGCCTGGAGAAAGCTCTGTGTGAACACCTTCTACAGGCACCTACCATGGTCTAAGGGGAAAAAAAAACTCTCAGATTTACAATTTAGCACGCCAGCAGCGTGCGGGTTGTACTCCAGTGCGTAGCATCGACTGCTGGAAGCTAGAATTCCTCACCAAGTTTTGTATTCTCTCTCATCCACACTGTGTTGTGATTGCCCACAGTTCTCAAGAACTTCCTTTCTGTATTGGAGCACGAAGCAATCACAGAAGGCTACGGGGTTGGAAGGGACCTCCGGAGATCATCCAGTCCAACCCCCCCCCCTCCCAGAGCAGGTCCACCCAGTGACCACAGATGGGACTCAAAACTTGAAAAAAAAATCTAAGAATGTGGGAGTAAACGGACAGCTGGATCTCTGGTACAATAAGGCAAATCCTTCTTTTTGAATACAGTTTGCTATTTCAAATGCAAATACATTTCAAACATTAATTAGGTAACAAGCGCTTACGACTCGCCATCCATACTGGGTTCAAAAATAAGTCTTTAATTTGTATTAACATGATACCTAACAAAGGCCACACCCACTGCGCTATTAAATTCTTGTCTTTAGGCTGAAAAAAATTACTGTACAGCACATTTTCTATATTTATATAGATATATATATATAGCATCGAGATGATCCTTAACATGCAAGCGTCAAGAGGCATCTCAAATTGCGTCCGTTTGCTGCGTTCTAATTAAGACTCCTTAATTAGGAGGCTACTACTCACAGCTATGGCCCACCAATGGCGCAGTCTGCACATTGCATATGCAAGTATTAACACCTTAAACCGAAAGACTGCCAGTAGCTAGAGAGAAAGGAAAAAAAAGATGTGTCGGTTAATTCAGCACACAGAAGCAGCACACGTTTCTCAGCTCACTCGAAAATACCAACCCTTTATGAAACAACTTAAAACGGGACACTCTTAACTTCTGTTATTGAACCAAAACACTAAATGCTCACAAAACAACTTCAAACAGGACACTCTAAGCTCTGTTATGGAAAACCGAATTTGAATGTGTGCTTATAAAGCAGAAATAGAAGGTAATTTCCCCATTTGTAAAGCAAATGGCACCCCTCACATGCCTACACAGGCTCAAATATGCAAGCACATGCGTCATTCCACAAATAAGTGGAATATATAATCAGCAAGTGGAATAAAGCTACACAAAATACGTTAACGAACATTTTACCTGGCTGGAATCTAAGCACTTCAATCTGGAGGCAGTTACCCCAGCAAATACCTCGAGCAATCCCTGTGCACCTCATGATCTTAGCAGTGTGTGCCACTGCCTGAGAGGATCTTAAAAACTGCAAATCATTCACAAACGAAATCGGAAAACGGGAAGAATTTTAAAAAATCTATTTCCTTCTTACTAAATGTTTAGAATTTATTGAAATATTAACGTTGCAGCAACCGATTATTCTTTATGGAAATGCCCGCAATAGCAAGCCATTCCAAATATTTTGCAGTAAAGAAAGGTAAGTTCTGGGATTTCTAGGCCAGAAAATGAAATCGGTATCAGACAGAAGAGATTTCCAAATCGGGCACCCCAGCCCTCCATTTCCTTGCTTATTCTTTGATACCGGGTTGCCTCCAACTTGTTTTAAAAGATGTGTTCAGAATCTAAAAAATGTGAAACAAATGCTTGAAAAGGAAATCAAGGACAGGCACGGCCAGGGGTAAAACGAACCCGTTTCCTCTTACGCACATCAGTACATTGCAGTGATGTGTAGGAGAAACAGAAGAAATCCTGTCTAAGGCCACAGATCATTTTGCAGAATTCAATGAGCTACTCCCTTACGAAGGAGTAAAAGTCTCTTATTTTGCATTCCATGGGTTTTAACCCTTTGTTCAACTACAGGGCACAATAATTTTCAGAGCATCAACGACTACAGATAACGTGGCTTGGTGGTTTTTTTTTTTGCTTTCTGCAGTTGAGGTGTCTCACGCATCTGGTACCTCATTCCATTTGACACAGCAACCAGCCAGGAGGAGTCTCTACACCAGTTTGGAAGGGGGGACTAGGGATATTGTCATCAATATAAACCCACTGACACCAAACCGACTCGTCTCTGCCAGGCAAACGAGACCTGGTAGAATGAACAATCTCACAAAAACCCGAGGCCCTTCAAGAAGAACGTTGGTTTAAATGTAATTACATTAAAGCTGGAGGACTGTTGGTCTTGTCTTCATAATTTATATCTTTATATGACATCAGTCTCATATTCCTGAGTTGTTAACCTGTTTTTCTGTGCCCCTCAAAGCAGAAGCAGGGATTTAAGTGTGCCTGAGTATCTCCATCCACGAGCCCGCTGTCAAAGCAAGACTGGGCAACCCCTAGATGGGTCAAATTTGGGACAATAATCAAGGAAAGATCAACCCTTCCACAGGATTCAAACTGGGGAATATCTGTGGCAGGAGGAACACGGGAAAACGATACTTTTGCTACTTTCCTTTCTTTTTTGCTAAAGAACACTTACAAATATATCAAAATATGAAGAAGAGTAGTCATATTGTAGGACTTCTTTCTCCAAGGTAGTCTCAATGCCTCCTTTTACCTGGAAAGAAACAACGACACACACAGCTTTAGAACAGGAGTTACTGAAGCCAAAATACACCCAAATCCAAAGGGTGAAATAAATAGTTCCCCACTGATGTACAAAACCATCATTACACTAAGTCCAAAGGACATATATGCTAAAAAAGCCAATTTCACAATTAAGGTCCTTATCTGCTTTTCATGATTAAATACAATTTTCAAAGTGAAACTATTTAGGATTATCGCCCGGCCTTTGCAAGCTACATTTCAGAATGTCCCAAAATAAAAGCAAACAAGCTGTTGAGAGAAGGAGAAACAATTAAATGTAACGTCTGTTACACAAATTCATGGAGTATTTTAAGTCTCATGAACAGGATCAAAAAGCCACCCTGAAACTAGCTCTAGTTAGAATAGAATCATAGAATTGTCCAGGTTGGAAGGGACCTTTCAGATCATCTAGTCCAACCATCAACCCAACTCTGATCAAAACCATCACTAAACCATGTCTCTAAGCACTAGGTCAACCCGGCTTTTCAATCCCTCCAGGGATGGGGCCTCAACCACTGCCCTGGGCAGCCCAGGCCAA